AGTTGCAACACCGACGCCTGCTGGCCTCAATCCCCGAACCTTCATAGCATCAACCCAATGCCATAACCTATAGGGCTAAGCCCGAGCCTGAGACCCACATCCGCGGAGTGCCATATGAGGCGGTGCGGCACTGCGCTCAGGGCCAGGGAAATGGGCCTGAGCCTCACCCCTGCCTACAACCGTGCGCGCGGTCGCCCAGCGTCTGCGCCGACTTACTAAGCTGTACCACGGCCGCCACTCGCGCCACCCCACATGCCAAGACCTACCGTAGTCACACTGTCGCCGTCGACGCCGCCGTCCTCGCACGCGCGCTCGCCTCGGTCAAACGTACCAAACAACCGAAAATATCCCTAATTCCTGCTCAATCAAATATAAAAATAAAAGTAAAACAAAGTTAAGCCGGCCGGCGTCCGCGCCGACTTTATAATCAACGACAAGGAAAAAAATCCCGCGCGCCTCTAACCCTGCGCGCCCACGCACTCTCTACTTCTAGACCTCATAGCCAACCTATAGTCACCACACTGCCGCAAGTCGCGCGGCCTTCTTAACAATTCCAGGTCAAACTTGTTTTTTGTGACTTGCAAAAACCAGGGCGGATACCCTTGTAAGGGTATTCGCGCCGACAGCGGTGATGTGTGGACCGGCGGCATGAAGAGAGTGTTGAGTATGTGCACGCAGCAATAGTCATTGGGGTTCGCGGCACATGCGGTTTTCAGTCAGGGCCACCTTTATTTTTTTTTGCAGCGCGTAGCGCGAACGGTTTTGAGTTCCGGACCGGGTGGTATTACGGGTGATGGTATGAGACTGTATTGGGACCATTTTGGGACTAAGTGAGACTGAGTTTGAGCTCGAGACGGACAAGTTGGTGTGGCTATTGTGAGCGGACAGGGTAATTTGAGGCGGCATGAACTTGCAATTGGTTGGGGAATATCTCTGGTGGGTAAAGTGCAGTAAGACTGTGTTGAGACAATTTGGGACATTGGGACCACGTGAAAATACATTTGCGGGAACACCCTCCAGGAAGGCTATCTCGCTTGAGTTTTTTGTATGGTCAAACCTCTGTTTTTTTGAATAATTGAGAGAGGACACGAACCGTGATTCAGGAGGAAGATCACAACTTGTGGAGTTGTAAGCCACATATGTTCATATTTTAGGACGTTCATTTTCTTTTGATTGGAATATTGCTCGACTTTATTGAGTGAGATAAATCAAACTTCACTCAAAGTTAGTCATTTGATTGACTCAGATTTCCCTTCGCACCTGAGTGAACCCACACTTGCTTGACCCTGTTCATTGAACGTTCGTTGAAAAAGTAAAGAAAACGCATGTTTGCATGTGAATGGAAATGTGTGACTCTAGTATGAGATTGTATTGTTTTCTTTTGAACTTGTTGCTTTGCTTGATGTGTAGGTAGGTAGAAGGATGCTTGCAAAGAAGATTGATTATGCTTGTTTGAGATGGAGAAAAAAATTATCCTCTTTTTACCTTTCGTTTGCCTACTTATTGAAAGGATTTATTGTTCTAAAAAATATTAATTCAGTGCATGTAGTAAAATAAATTCGATTGAAATAAAGCAGATAAGGTCAAAACCGCTTAGCCTTTCCTGATGATTGACCCTTTCTATCCCGAATAACCTTATTTACCTATACCTTTCCAAATGATCCTCATTCTTTATCTTCTCTGATTTTTTAATATATATTTTTTTCAAGTTACCCTGAACTTATAATAAATGAGAATAATTAAAAGTTACTTGGTGAACACATTCTTTTTCTTCAGGAAGCATCTGGGGCGAGAGTTTGTTGTCTTAGGAACCGACCTTGTTATCGACCAGAGTGAACCGTTCTACGAGAATGGTACTTTGCCGATCCGGTGGAGATGACCCAACTTTTGAGATCCGAGTCTTGTGCTCGGGCGAGGAGGAGGATTACCCCAGACCACTTCCTAGAGGGAGGGACATGCAACACTTCAAACAATGCACCTGATCAAGAATCATTAGCAAAGCAGTTTGTCATCCAAGAAAGATTGAAAGCGTATGGAGCCGTGTGTGTGTGTCTAATCTTAAGTCGACGGTAAGGTGGAATTAATGACTTTGGCAACGCGTCTCATCAAGTCAAAACTAAGGCAGACCGACTAACTTGTCGACTGCATCAAAATCATTATCGAAGTTAACTCTTCGTTGGTTGTTGTATGATTCTTTTTATTTATGGAGTTCGACCCGAGGTGGTCGTTTTTTTTTTATCGATCTTATGTCATTGAATGTATCAAATGATGATTTGTACCCTTTCAGTTATCTTTTCATATTGAATATATATTCCTGTCAACTACGGTCGACTCCTTTTGGTGTAATTATGTATGGTTGTTATATTTTTTTTTTAACGGTGTGTCTAAGGGAGTAGGATAAATATTTGGGTTTCGCGCTTGGTTGAGACCGTCCTAGTTGACCGACGTACTTAGGAGATCAGTACCCTAATTGACGGACGATGCTCGAGTCCACTTGTCGTTAACCAAGCGTATCTATATTACAGCGAACGAGTAAACACCCTCGACTGACTTACCTCTGTGACTGCATTTAAAAACTTCTGCACGTGGGTCAGTAGCTCGGTAAGGATACGCCCCTAAGGTTGGTGACAACCCCTTAGATGAGGAGAGTTGTGCCCCGCGGAAACCTATCCTGTCGTAGGGGACCGTGGGAAGTACGGCTGGCGCACCCGGCTAAAGCGGCGAAGGAACGACGCGACCTCGACCGTCCCGGCGGTGTGCGGGATTATTATGCATCGTTCCTGAGTTGTTCTGTTTTGTTTTGTTTACTCCTGCGTGATATGGCTGGGAAGGCTCTCGCCTTTTGAGAAAAAGGCGGGAGCCAATGCGCTTGACAGCGGTACTAAAAACTTAAAAAAGGTTGTACCCTAAAACTTCCATAACGTACGTACGTTGTATTCGAATACAAGGTACCCCGTACGTTGTATTCGTATACAAGGTACGCATGTTTTTTTCGGGTTAAAGGCCTACTCACACTAGGGCCTTTTATGGCAAAATAGCTTAAATTTGATGGTTGGGCCAGTCGCACGAGGCGGGGAAAGTGGCAAAAGCAGCAAACAGGGGATCAAATGTCAGCGGCCTGGCGGGCCGTGGGGAGGGGCATCTTGCTACCACCTCTGGAGGTTGTTGCAATTTTTTTTCCTTCAAACGATCTTCGTTGCAAAACAAAAAGTTTAAGGATTTGGGCCTCGTGCACCATTTTGGCGATTGCCAGAAAGTCTGGCTTGTGTCTTTTGTGATTTGCTGCCGCTATTACCGGGCGGGGTGGCATTTCAGCAAAATAGGGATAGCAAAATTCCCAGATTTTGCTGATATGGCACCACTGTGTGAGTACACCCTAAGAAGGTAGTAGCCAGCCGCTACAACAACCTGGACCTGCTCCAAAAATCACTTGATCGTCTGACTACGAGGGGTATTTGGTTGGGCGCTTGTTCTCAACAGCCCTATTTGCTCTCGTATGTTTTTTTTTCTTTTTTTTTTTGTTGAAAATCTATGTTCTTCTCTCAAGTTCACCTCACACAACCTACCTACCACACTACTCCTAATTGTAGGCATACGGGAACCCCATAGCAGCCAGAACCGTGTTCACTACAAAACATGTGGGGGCTGCTCCTGACCTGCAGGTGGGCGATACCGGCGAGGGGACAGCCGGTAGCGGGCAGCATCAGGGACCATGCCAACAGGACCAATCCCTGCGCCTCCCCTCAGGTGGTGGTCCCCTCCCCTACGAACATCAGCAGACTCTGCTCAATGCCGATTGGGGGATCCAGCGGTCTATTTTGGTAGGTGGCGGGCGCTGAGTATGTGGCCACAGTACGAGCGGTAGGCAAACAGGTTTATGCAGGATAACATCTTTGCAATATACCCCTACCAGGCACCTAAGCAACTTTTCAAAATGCCCCGGTACCAGCAGGCCCATTAATGTTTTTATTTATCCCTACCCGTCTGTGCCATCCTTTCACTTTGGCCCTATTACGGTTGAGACCCTATTTATTGTGGAATGCATCCGGCCACATTATGGGTTAAATTAGATGGAACTAGATTTTTTTTTTTTTTAAAGCTATATTCTTCTCTCAATTTCACCTCACACTACCTACCTAGCACTACTCCTAATTGTAGGCATACGGGGAACCCCGTAGCAGCCAGAACATGCGGGGGCTGCTCCCGACCTGCAGGTGGGCGATACCGGCTAGGGGACAGCTGGTAGCATCAGGACCATGCCAACAGGACCAATCGCTGTGCCTCGCCTCAGGTGGTTGTCCCCTCCCCTACGAACATCAGCAGAGATGGAACTAGATCTAGAGCTAAGTTTGACCAGATTCATTCAGAAAGCTCTCTGTCACACACACAGAGATAAAAGACTGGCCGCCATATCATGGCGCAATACCTTTCTCGGCCTTTTGGCTAAGATCGGTTTAATATCTGATCCGTGGTCCATCGGACTACATTAATAAAAATAAAAATGAAAAAATATCATGCATGAGGAAAAAAGGGAGAAAGGGCTGACACGTGGCGGCTGGTCCTTGGTTCGTTGTCGGCTGTCTATACGTTTGTTTGATAGAACGGCTACCTTAGCGAGCAGCCATTACTGTTTCACCCACCGCTTTGGGAGGACAGATCGGCATCTTCGTGGCCGCCATAGCTTCTAGCTTCGGCCAGCTATCGAAGACGGCCATAACCGGCTATGGCCGACTATAGGCGGTCGTAGCCGGCCCCGTCGTCATCCTCCATAGCCAGCCATCGTGATCCTCATCCTCCATAGCCAGCGATTGCTATTCTCCAAAGCCGCCCATCGCCGACTGCCATAGTCGGCTATAGCCGTCCATAGTCGGCCCTTTGCGGGCTATAGCCGTCCATAGCCAGGCATCGTCATCCTCCATAGCCTGGTATCGCCATCCTACAAGTGTCTGTTTGCGTAATTGAACGGTCCTCCTCTTCGCCTGTTGATTGGCCGACAATTG